ATTTCCATAACTGACAATAACTATAGCAGCAGCAGTAGTAGTAGCGGTAGCAGCAGCAGTAGCAGCGCAGTCGTAGCAGCAGCAGTACTAGCAGTAGTAGCAGAATCAGCAGCAGTAGTAGTAGCGGTAGCAGCAGCAGTAGCAGCGCAGTCGTAGCAGCAGCAGTACTAGCAGTAGTAGCAGAATCAGCAGCAGTAGTAGTAGCAGCAGCCGTAGTACCAGTAGCAGAAGCAGCAGCAGTAGTAGTAGCAGCAGCCGTAGTAGTGGCAGCAGTAGCAACAACAGCAGCAGCAACAACAACAACAGTAGCGGCAGCAACAGCAGCAGTAGCAACAGCAGTAGCAGTACCTATTTCACCAACGTCACATTCTGAGTAAACCAGGATAAATTCAATAGTAATCTAATATATATTTGAGTTCGTATGTATGTATCTATGTATGTATCTTCCCTATAGGCGGCCAAACCGCCCAAGCGATCTGGATGCAATTTTCACAGGGCCATCTCTTATACCCGGGGAGTGTTCGTAGCTGAAAAAAACCTGTCAAACCGTCAAACTCACCAAAAAATCCGTGAAAAACCCCTCAATCATTGCTGGTATTGTGAAACCGAAAGCAATACTAAAACACACCACAACCAGGAGGATGAGTAATTTCATTTCTCCTACCTCACCAGCTGCTGCTATTGTGAAACCGAAACCAATACTAAAACTAACCACCCAGTCAAACCAGTTCAGCAGAAAGCAGACAGAGAAACCAGTTGAGAGGTTAGGACTGTAACAGTTACCTACTACACCTGAGGTTAGCACGTGAGGTAAACACGCACGTAGGACGTAGCACGTAGCACGTAGCACGTAGCGGTAGCACGTAGGTGAGTGAGTAAACATTCTGTTATAATTCAAAATTTCCCCACTCGCTGGCCTGCCATCTGTTATACCCGGGGAGTGTTCCTGTCACTGTCCAAAAACCTGTCAAACCGTCAAACTCACCGGAAAATCCGTGAAAAACCAGTTAATTCGTCAATCTTCACACAATTCAGCACTCACTGCACAGTGCTGCCACAGACAGAAAAACCTATGACTATTTCTTGCCCTCACCTCATGATCTCATCAGCTGCTGGTATTGTGAAAGCGAAACCGAAATCAATACTAAAACAGAGCATAACCAGGACCAGTTCAGAGGTACTACTCACTCTGAGTTCAGAGTTTCAGTTGCTGCGATCTCAGAATGCATTGTACCATTCCAAAGCTATGCATTTTCTGATTCAATACAAAAATTTCTTAATTACAATGTGCATGGTTGCGCGCCAAGCATTCACTAGACAATATCCAGTGGACACAGACCCCACTCGCTGGCCTGTAAAACCAGTTGAGAGGTTAGGACTGTAACAGTTACCTACTACACCTGAGGTTAGCTCTGTCTGCTTTCTGCTGAACTGGTTTGACTGGGCATGTTATATAGTATACAGACAGGCCAGCGAGTGGAGTCTGTGTCCACTGGATATTGTCTAGTGAATGCTTGGCGCGCAACCATGCACATTGTAATTAAGAAATTTTTGTATTGAATCAGAAAATGCATAGCTTTGGATGCAATGGTACAATGCATTCTGAGATCGTAGCAACTGAAACTCTGAACTCAGAGTGAGTAGTACCTCTGAACTGGT